AACATTTCTTGTTCATTCGCTTTCTTATTGCTCAGTTGCCTAGTTTTAAAATATTTGTCTCAGACAAGTATTTCATCCATCTTATACTTTCCAGTTCCACCATTAATATTCTGGCCTAAACATGTATGATATCATTCCAGGGTTGGTTAGATAGTTGGGTCTACCTGCTCCAAATTACTCTTTATCTTAAAAAAATGCTCAGTTATCTTCCTTAAACACTAATGTCATCATAAAACCCTACATGACTGTTTTCTATTATATAAATTCTATATTCTTCAGTTGCTTTTGAAAGCTCTCCAAACTCAAAGTCCATGTCTTAATGCTCCCCAGGACTTATGAGCCTCCTGCTTTAAAAGCCCCTTTTTGTAAGAGTACTCTTTCTTTCCCAACTCCTTCCCATCCTTCCAAATCTTGTTCAATGCCCATTTCTCTCCATGAAATTTCCTTTGATAATATCTGTTAAGCTGAGTGATATTCAATATAATTTTATAAATAAAACAAAAATTAATGCTGTCAGAATATAGTGAAGTATAACAGTAAGCAATGTGTTCAGTGAAGAAACTTAAAATATTCCTGACCTATCTCTCCACTGGAGCTTGAAATTCCACAATTAGCTTAGTGCTTCAAGTTAACCTTGCAGCTAAAATGTAAAAATCTTTTAGCAAATATTTCTGTATGTTTTACTATGAAATACTTTGTTTTACCCTTTCTAGAGATGTGAAATTTGGAGAACAAAAAAGAAAAGCAAAATTTTCCTGCATACCTACAAGGTTGAGCCCATCACTAAAGAAAGAAAAGCCAAAATCTCAATTTACCTACATTGCAAATAACTTTTCTGCTTTAAAGTTAGCCTTGTGCATTATATATATATGACTATGAATTATTCAGAATATTTGATTAACTGATTGCTCTCATTCTTAGACAGAGCTAGAGTAGGAATTTCTTCTAAGACAAATAAGAATTGATTGCTGCATTCTTTCCCCTCACACCATCTTACTTTCACTAAATGATAAATATCAGTCATCACAATACTAGGAAAAGGAGGAATCTGATTTCTTGGCACACTGTTTTTCCCTCTTATCCTAGCAATCCGGACTCCATTTTTGAACCCCTTACTATCTCGACCACCACAGAATAAAAGAGGTATGGGACAAGTTCTGTTTTCCACAAATAAATTAAAAGAAAGAGAAAAAATATAACTTGCAGTGATCAAGGGTTTTTCTTTCTAGTTTCTAGACATATTTCCTTCCTTCTTTCTTTCATTGGCCTCACCACCACCACCACACCACCTCCTCTTTGAATTTTCCTTACTTTTTTCTGGTCTGCTTTTCTGGGTTTCTAACCTGGATCCTGGACTGGTGCTCTCACTCTCTGTCATTGTACATTTGCTCTGTTCTTTACTCTCTCTTATTCCCTCCTCTACCTTTCTTCTACCAAGTATTTGGGCGCTCACTTCAGCAACACATATACTGCCAAGTATTCGAAACCTACATGAGTATTTGAGTACTGTAAGAAAAATTGAATCTATTCCAGCAGAAGAAGTAATAGACAAATTTTAACTATTAGATTATACTTTGTTTTGAAGAGTTATAGACCAAACTCTAGGTTACTATAATGAAGTTGTTAACTCCACCCTTCCCATGATACCATCTATAATTTGGGATAGAAAATTTATCCATAAACTCCGAAGTAGAGTCTAACACCAACTGTTTTCATTACAGGTTGGAAATGCAAGTAAGACAAAAAATTATCTTTGAAATCATGAGTAATTTACCTACCTATTGCTAGCCAGTCCAAAGTTAAGCTTATAAGAGTAAGCTATGTCATTCTTCCTAGACATTTTACTGTAGTATCTCAATGCTTTTACTAGTCAAAGAACAGATTACGTCGTCAATCCTTTTATCTTCCTACTTAGGAGAGCATTTTCACTCGCTACATTATTCTACCAAGAATTTATATGCGCGACTACAAGTCAATAAAGGAAGATGAAAAGAGCCTAAAGTACATTCTATCACACTTGGGAAAGTGTTTTACTTTTCTTTCATAATCTGAAAATATTACTTCCGTTTCAGAAAGCATTTAAAAGACAGTCCATTCTGTAGATCATTTCCAACACTATTTTATTCAAAGGCCCCGAAAATGGGTCTTTCTAAGACTCTCCAAGGTCAAGCAAGAAGAGAATATGAATGTCTTGATCACTGCTAACATTCATAGGCAAAAATGTCCCCGGCCTTCCCTTTTTTCTTTTCTTCCAAGTTGGCCAGTTTCTATAAACGCCCCCGTTTAGTAGTCAAGGCATCCTCTAACCCTTGAGACTGTGGGAAATTTGGAATTTCCACGGGAGAGTGTCAGTCCCACAGGCCTCAGTTGCTCTGGAAGAAATCCCGCTCCACAAAGGACCAGGCAGCGGCGGGGGAGGGGCGCGGGACAGACTTGGACCGGAAGGCGGGCGAATCCTGGGTTTGAATGGTAAACGCCACAGCTGGGGGCCGCTAATCAGTAACCAGGGAAATACAGGATTTCCGGGGGACTTCACGCACACGCGGTGCAAACCAACTCCCGGGAGAGTGGGTAGTTTCTGCTCTCCTGAGCTGCTTCCTCGCTGTTCTCCGAACTTTTCTCACCGGACCCCACTTCCTCCTCGGGCTGGGGCTGGAACCACCGTCCCCGGGTTCGCCACCTCGCCCCCTGCCCCCAACAACATTCCTGGGGCGGATCCAAGCTGCCGCCGCTCAACTCCAAGCAAATAGACTAGAGAACCGAGCGACGCCGACCCAACGGCGCCCAGCTCTACCATCCAGTGACCCGACTCAGCTTGGGCATCCTCAGTAAGCGCTTCATTTATCTAGGAAGAAGTAGCCTGCAGCCTCGGCTCCAACCTTGTGTGCAAATCGGCACTCAGTTTACACTGAGACTATCAGTCGCTCCCAGTCTCGCCTCGCCCCAGTGCCTGTGCAACTGGAAGTTTTAAGAAGTTTGCACTTCTCGGGCCTGGTCCCAACCTGCTCCCCAAAGCCCACAGTATGTGAGGGTTAGCATCTGCCTGGAATCCGCTCGCTGTTTCTAATCGGTTCTTTAATCTTCAAGTAGGCGCACAGCTCCCAGGACAAGAAGACCCCGAGCTCCAGGAGACGCCAGGCACAGCCTCGCCCCTCCTTGCCCCTGGAAATAGCCTGGCACCTTCCCTCTCCTCATTTCTACGTCCTCCAGGGGATCACCTCGAATGAGGTGGGAATGAGGTAGGAATGAGGGGCCACCTCATTCCTACGTCCTCGTCCCAGGACAATTGTCAGGCAGACCCCTGAGGGGGAGATGCTGTATAAGGACGGCAAACGCTCACCGCCCCAGGCTGAACCTTCGGCTCGTGTCCGCTCCCCCGCTCACTCACCCATGGCCGAAGCTTCTGCTTCTCCTGAGGTCCCCGGGGACAGCACAGCGAGTGACCAGGCGCTGCTCCGGGCCAAGTTCTCCAAGCTGCTCTCGGGCTCCCAGCGCCTCGGCGAGTGACAGCCGCGCCCCTCCCAGAGGAGACCGCTTGCAGGGCGCCGGGCAACTCGACGCGGCGCCTCCCTCCTTCCACCTGCCGCTTGGGACTGAAACCTGCTTTGCTCCCTCCGCAGTCCTCCCCGCGGCCCTGTCCTGTCCCCTTTCGCTTTCAGTTGACGCTCCTGCAAACGCCTCCCTCCCAAAGGCTTCACACATACTTTCCATTCACATTCATACCCAGGAATGGCCTGTCATCCAAGATAAAGACCCTTAAAATGAGGTCTCAGAAAAATTATTGCAGAAGAACAGATCATAATAGGGCGATTTCATAGATCCTGAAATTTTGTCTTATGCTCAGTACAGCCACTTTCCCCCCTAATGTAGGTGTTAATGAAGACAAGAAAAATATCCATTTAGATTACACTTTATCATCTTTTTTTTTCCTGTGAAATGTTTTTGTAATCTGACATGGTTATACAGTCCTAAAAACCACACACACACACACACACACACACACTTCCCCCATAATACGGACGGAGTGGTCACCTGGAAAACAAACTTTCCACTTAAGATGAGGTGGGTACTCTCAGCTTGCCACTAGAGAGGGAGGAATTGTGATTGTGACTCTACCGCTGATACCCTGAGACTCAGTTTCCTAATATGTAAAATGAAGGATCTGGAAAAAGTGATCTCTAAGGACCTTTCAGGCTCAAACAAATTATATAATTTTATTGGTTTTTGACCTAGTTCTTTCAGAACTCATACTGGAGAAGTTATTTCAGTAAGTCAGTCCCCAAAATATCTTAAGCTTCTTTTTTATGCAGTGTACACCCTAAACTATACAAATCTGTGCCATGAGGAAGCGGTACAATGAAATAAAGTGGACATGGTTACTAACCTTGAGGAGCATTGCTATGCAATGGAGAAGACATAATATACAAACGTAAGAGTATCTTTAGCAGAACACATGGGTAGATGCAGACCATATTATTAAAACATCATAGAAATGTTTGCACAGCTATTTCTAATGTTATGGAAGAAGCACACACCTGACAGGGGTTTTATAAATGCATTTCACTTAAATGGGAATATAAAGTCACTCTTGCGGGAGGGGAAAGGAAGTACTTGCTAAAAGTTACAAGTGCTCAATATATCATTCAGAAATGCATCATGATTCTGGAAATTGATAAATATGAACTGTAATTGATGCAAAGTATAGCAGTCATGTAGTGGTTCAATAAAGATAAGTGATGAGTTTTGGAGATAAATTTATAAACTTAGCCTTAGAATCACCACAGACTATCTACTACCTATTCTAAGACTATAAGACTTCTAAAAATTAAAATTATTACTGTTTTTATTCTAGTGGAATTCTATCATAACTCTGATACATGAAATATTAAGAATAACATAAGCTGAATACAATTGACTGTCAGGCAAAAGTCTAAGGACTTTGTACCACCTCATATAATTTTCATAAGAAGGAAATATTCTTATTTCTACTTTACAGATGAAGAAACCAACCTACTAAGAAATGAAGCTCTTGCCCAACTTCTTACAGATATAAGTAGGAAAGTGGAAGTCATATTCAAATAGAAATGTGGACTGCAGATGCTGAGGCCTTGATTGGCTCACAACACTGTCTGCAGCATTCAGGTTAAATGCCACATGGATGAAAAAACATTTTGATATCTTTCAACAGTAAGTACCACTCTTAAACATTCCTAGTAAATCATAAGAATTTTGCAATATAATAAAGATATAAATCATCTTATACCACCCTTTAATAACCAAAACAATGATGATGTCTCTTTTTGGCCTATTATAAATGAATGTACAGCAATGTTGATGTTTAAACTATCTACAATACAGGAATTATATGAACAAGGGAGACTATTTGTTGAGAGAGTCAACAAAGAACATCTATATAGTATATAGAATTGTGTACTTTGTTGAATCTCTCATGAAATATACACATGAATACTTAAATAAATAAAAAAGTAGCTTAAATAATGCCTGTTTCATTCTAAACTAGACAGGAAGGAAGATAATTTCATAGAAATATCCATAGGCTGGGATAAAAAGAAGTCATGGTACTGAAAATATGAATTAAGTTTAAGAACAGAGTAAGTGAAAATAAATTGTAAAAATGGGAGTGGTGGAACTTGGTATTCTGCTATTACTATATTGGAATTTAAGGTTACAACAGTTGAGAAACTTGGAATAACAACAGGACCCACAGAAAGGTAGTTTTGTAAAGTTCGATGGAGGTGACAGTCCCTAATATTCAGACAAGACAAAATCAGGTGAATTTGGGAAGTATCCTCAATGTGTACACAAAGCAAGAATTAGAAAGAAAAAACAGGGTTAAATAAAATTTAAGTGATGTAAAGCATTTGAAAGACATAAAGCACTTGAAAGAAATGAAATGTAAGTGACAAAAAAAGCATTTGAAATATTAATTACAGCTATGGATATTACTGGAGGGTACGAATAGAAACAATCTATGGATTGCCATAAAAGTGAATAATATATTGTTATAATTTAAATATGAAAAGCAGTCAAGAAGAAACAAGTCTTGAAGCAGTATAACCAATGGTATTGTTGAGCAATCAAGTTTGTTTTCTAGGGAGTGGAGGTTCCATCCTTGAGAAGTAAAACATATTGTTTTTGTTTGTCTTATTTTGTTTTGTTTTGTTGTTCATTTGTTTTAGGTATAAATATTTGAGTGGTTGTATGTTAGTCAGATTTCCATTGCTCTGACAAACAACCTGAAATAATCAACTTATAGGAAAACGTTTATTTTGAGTCATGGTTTCAGAAGTTTCAGTCCGTAGTCTTTTGGCCCTGCTGTTTCTCTGGCTTGTGGCAAGGCAGAACATCATGGTGGGAAGCCCAGGATGGTAAAAAGCTGCTCACTTCATGGCAGCGTGGAAGTGGGGAAAGAGGAAAAAGCTGGGGACCCAACATCCCTATTAAGGGCACATGGCCAAATGATCCAACTTCCTTCCACCAGGCCCCACCTCCTACAATTACACCATCTCCCAGTGGTGCCAAAAGCTGGGAACCAAGCTGCTAAGACAGGAGCCACACTAGATTCCAATCATAACCATTGTTTCACAGCAGTGTTTATCACACAGATGTGACCCTCAGACTTTGTTTCCCCAGCAAGAAAAGTAACACATCTCCCAAAGATAGACCCTTTTATAATTTATTTGCAAATGTTCCATTCTTAGGGATTGTTTCCCCTGAGGAAAATGTTTTTTATTTGTTTGGTTTTTTTGGGGGAGCGGGCTTTCAATTGGCCCATAGGAAAACTCTGAAAAACTCATGGCCTTTCCCTACAAAGTTGTAGTGAAGTATCTTGTGACAGATTTAGTAACACCTCAGAGTGATCTTTGGTTAATATGTAAGCACAACCGGCATACTTCTAAAATTGAGTTTATTTGTACAGCACCACCTCCTTTCCCTCACAAACAGAAAACACAAAGATTAAAGGAGAAGAATGTGCCCTAGGGAAAAAGTCCAGGCTCTAAAGTTTCACCTAGGTGTGGGGCAAGGACCAGGCTTACAGCTAGGGGAGGGTGTATGCTCTCTTTTAATATCTACTGATAGTCTGTTAAAATTAGCACTTATTTCAGGGACAATGATTTAAAAGATCTTAAAAGAGTTGGTTGTCATTTTAATTTGAACCCCATAGACAGAATACCACTTGGAAAATCAGTTAAACCTTCATCCTTCACTGTGGAGTCCTTTCTGGCCATCAGACTATGCTCTTCTATTCGCTGAACAGATTCCAGTTCCATTTGTTTGCATCCAACACCCAACTGACCCATGTGTCCCACCTAATTGGACTCCATGAAACTTATTAGCCTCATGCTCTGTGTAAAATATAAGAGCATTTTATGCTAGATCTTTCACCTCCTAACACTCTTTGTTGATTCTGTCATTGCTTTGCCTGCTTTTGTAACCTACCAGGTGATGTTTGGTTGCGCCACTTTGCTTCCATCTTTATCTGCCTTTTTCTGACCAAATTGAAACACAGGTGTTTGTAGATCAAGGTGATGAATCTTACAATGGCCCCGTGAAAGCCCTGTTTTTGACAGAGAGGTTGGGATCACACCCTCAGGCCTGTTCTGCTGGCCCTGAACCTTCAGAACTTCCAAGGATAGAGAGAAGTTCATTCTGAGGATACACATGGTGGGCGCTGCTTGCCAATTGGGCTACAACACTGCTGCTGATGTTGTAGGTAAAAGGGAAGATCTTGCTGGGAACTGCACTGCAAGGGGTGGGCTTCATGTTCAAGTAGGTTGGGATACTGGCAGGCACTTAGGCAGTGCTGATGGCCTTCCACCCTGACTCCTGGTCCTTCTCAAACTGCTGTTTTGTGTCACTACGCTGACTCTTCAGTATCCTATCTTACGGTTTTACCAAAAAGCAGGAAGCTACCAACAAACCTATAGAGGATGACTCTCAGTTCCCACCCATGTACTATGGCCCGTTACAGGTTTGAGACAGAAGAATTCTGAGCCAGCATAAGAGGGGACCAGTTTGTTGCCAAAGATGAATTTGTTATGGAAATAAAATCTGCAAGTCGGTGTTTCAAGCTTTCTGCCTCTAGAACCCTTGATATGCTTCTGGTGGCAGCATTGAATAACAGACCAAATTTGTCTTGGGCCTCTTTCTCTCATGCTGCTGTAAGGCACTAGATAATGAAACAATATCGGCCTATGCCAGCACACTCATGACAAAGACACTTCAAATAATTTCACTGTGACAGGATGATTGAAAGCTTTTCTGTTTGGACTTTGTGAAATCATTGCAAGAGGTTGTGGAAGTTCTTCTGAGTCTTCTTAATGACATTCAGTTAGTTCTTTGACCTCTTCATCTTGGTGAATCTATGCTTTCCCATAGTTTTAAGGAGCTGATTGTTGACAATATGGATCTCCGAGATCCTGCAACATGTTGGACTTACTGATGGGTTTGAGAACAAGGTGTCCCAAAGTCAGCAAAAACTTTATAAAAGATGGTGACAAGTGTGATCCAAATCACTTTAAAGAAACCCAGGCCCAAAGTCTATCTGATGAACTGGTCATTACAGTGGAACCAAAATACTGTTAGAAACCAAAATAAATATTAACCAAAATGTTTAAAAGGTAAAAAGAGCAAAGAAAAAATGAGAAAAAATAATACATTGAAAATAATAAAAATAAAAAATAAAGAGAAAAGAAAAATGAGAAAAACAAAAATAAAAAACAAGAAAAGCAAAATAAGGAGTGAAGAATCAAGAAAAAAAGGAGGGGGAAAGGGAGGATGAAAGTAGGATGAGAAAAAGAGAATAAAAAAGAAAAAGTAATAAGCAAAATATTCAAAAATCCAAAAAGAAATAAATTAACTTTGGCCTAAGTCTTTCAGGCATTGAAATCTCATTACCTGAGATAAAGGACCAAGTAAGTAGGCTCAACTGGAGACTTTAAGAGGGTCTTAGAGTTCCATAAAATACCTTCATATTGGGTCCTACAAGAAATAGTTGAATTTTTTTTTCAGATTTTGGTTGCAAGAACTCATTACTCAAAAACAAGTGGGGGTGTACTCTAAACTTTCTGTTTATATGGGTTATACTGATAAATATTTGTAAGTTAAAGTCTTTAGGATGCCACAGTGACCTTTCCATTTCTAGTTTGAAAAGCTTTAATAATCTTAGGTTTTTAAAAATTTATAGTCTCTACACTTAAAATATGCAATTCTTTTGGTTTTAGACTCTGAAGGATGCTACAATTTAGCTGATATCATAAAACTACACAAAGATATTCCATCTCATGAGACACAAGATATATTATTTTTTCTCAAGATACATTATTAACATCTAATAAGTGGATAAGATAGCTTTCATAATATTTTCATTTCTTATTTAGAATTTTGTTCAGTTTCATGAAGAAATTCCTCCTTTTTGAGAGCCAGTAGTTTGATTTGTCCACTTTATTATTCTGAAATACAGAGATTGCAGCTGTTGCTTAAGGAAGCAAGTGTTTCCTCCCTTTCTCCACCCTCTTTCTTTTCCTTCCTTCACACTTAATAAATTTTTAGAAAAGTTTTAAATTCAAAGCAAAACTGAATAGAAATTGTTGATGTTTTTCTACATGTCCCCTGCCACGCAATATTTCTTTGTCTACATGTAACAGTTTTCTTGCTTCTCCCAGTTTTGATTGCTCCAGATTTTGATAATTATATAAAAAATGCTGCTATAAAAGTCCATGTGTAGGTTTGGGGGAGAAGGGCAGACGTTTTCAATTCATTTGGATAAATACCACAGAGTGCAACCACTGGTTTATATTATAAGAGTATGCATAGCTTTTCAAGAAACTACCAGACTATCTCAAAGTGGCTGTACCATGTTGTGTTCCAATCAGCAATAAACAAGAGTTTCTATTTCTCCAAATTCTCTTCAGTATGTTAGATTTTGACTTTTTCATAGATGTATAAAAATACCTCTTGTCATTTTAATTTTCAATTCTACAATATGGAAAACATAGAGATAAATATGGACACATGGTGTGGAACATCCTTTCATATGCTGATAATTTGCATTATGATATCATCTTGGTAACGTATCTGGATCTTTTGTTCATCTTTCATCCAGGTTGCTTTCATAATTATTTTCTAATGTGAATATTTCTTTGTACATTTTGGATAATAGTCAT